ACGAATTACATCTGCTTTTGAAAACAGAATTACACGGGCAGGGAGGGGTAGGGGTAGACATAGTGTTATTACATGTATCTTCCACGTGTTTTGCCTGTATTTCACTCAGACACTATCATATAAAACCTGCTTCATTTTGAACAAAAGGTCTAATGCAGTACTTCATGCAGTTATTTTGGATTGCAGGCAAAGGAGATGCAGCAGATGGTGAAGCTGGAAGCAGAGATGGATCGCAGGCCAGCAACAGTGGTCTAAAGCCTCAACAAGCAAATTGAAGTTGGAGAAGGCAGCGTCCTTAAAATGAGAGCAAAATTCAAAATAACATTGCCGAGGTTGAAAAGCAGGGTTTTTTATTTTGTTTGTTTGTTTGGAATATATTAAGTGTAGCTACGGACCACCAAGTCTTAAGGTTTGCATTACTCCTTTTTTAACACTGGGCACTGAATTTCCTTTGTTGGATTTCCATGATAAGATTCTCCTTTGTTCAGAAAAACACTACTCAGAAGATGAAGACAGTTTTTAAACCTAGTCCTGTATTCTTTTCTGTATCTCGCCAGGCAGCTTGCCTGCATCAGAATTACACAATCAGAGCCTTGAAACACAACAGATATTTTTAACATCATCTCAAATGGCAACAAAGCTGTAGTCCTGTTATTTACCATTTGTGTTCTCACGTGTGATGTATCGTGTAGAAACCCCATGCTGCCAGATCCCAGCGAGCAGCAACTCCTCAGATGCTCAGCACCTGATGTCATCGAGCCCACTGAACTGGATCTGCTGCTGAGGCACCGTCATGATCAGTATAGTAAGGAGCTGAGTTGGGGCAATTTTAAATTATATTTCAGAGTATTTTTCGGGTAGGCAGTTGAAAGCTAACTGCGTTTATTCAAAAAGGACAATGTGTACAAAGTCATCGGCCAAATTCGTCAACTGTAACAGTAACTTGACAGGATATTTCTGCAGTCCAATGATGTCGTTCACAAGTGCCATATCAAGTCTATCATGTCTGAAAGAAGCCAGTATCCTGTAATAGTTACTGCAATGGTTAACGTGAGGGAAATACAGTGTATTTGTGCCAAAACTGATCAGTGCTCTAAGGAATGTCGTATTAGGCACTTTAAGAAAAGTTTACATCCTACATTGCTTGTATAGAAATTGCATTTTGATCCTGTTGCTGCAGATCCCAGATAATACAGTTCATTGTAACTTAAAGATTGTTTAAATGGCTTTTGGCAAAAAGTTTGTTACTGTGAAAATGTAAAAAGTATTTATACACTTCAGAATCACAACATTGTAGAAAATCACATCCATGTTGCCACGTGATGAAATTAGTCAACAGAAATGCTAAGAGTATGTTTGCATGTGATACAAATGCTACTAAGACTGTAATGCCTACTATATGACCACAGTCATTCTACTAGCTGGTAAATACTGAATAAGTGTATGGCACAGAATATTGTTTGATTAATTACAAAGACTTTTAGCATAACAAGATCTCTATATATATGTGTGTATATTAATTACGTGGGCATTCTTGATACTTGTAGTAAAATAAAAGTACATAACTAATTTAATTTTACACAAAAGTATTTATGCAGATTTTCAGAATTTCATATCAGGAATAACCTTTTTATGTCCATTAGGTATAAAACCAATTTGCTAATGTGTTAATTTGCATGTTCCCAGCGCTTGCTGTAGTTATATTGCAAAACAATGCATGTAAGCCTTCCGCTTGGAATTTGTCCATGCTGCCAATTCAAAGATGACTGCATGGAAAACTGGTAGTTTAGAACAAATCAGATTCCTGATTTCAATGTACTAAGCACCAATTACTTTGTTGTATATGCTTGTACAAACAAATTCTACATATTCCTATAAACAAAATAAATGAAAAGAGATAATTATGTTATTGTCAGTCCTGAAATGAAACTTTCAACTTCTCTAATAAAAACCTTGAAAATTCAAAGCCTTAGTTTTGACTGTCGTGAATTGCAGGGTGGTGGTGGTATTACTGACACATTTTTAGTAAGTTGTATTTCCTGTAAAAATGTGCATAGTGTAAATATATTTCTATCACAGCTTATTTAATCAAAGGACTCTTATTTCTTTTAAGTTATAGAAGAGTTGTGCAGCATTGGCCTTCGCATCACTACAGAACTACCTGAATACAGTGGAGCAGAGAATGCAACTGAGACAGAGATCAGTGAAGTCTTCAGGTGATTAAGGCAGGATTTAAACTAACTTCAGATGCCTATTCAGAATTCCCATTCTGATGCCACTTAACCTACTGAGGCACCTCCTGCTCCTTATGTTCCTAAATTTTTAAAAGACAAGTTGTCTACTGGGAGCAGCACTCCCTGCTCTCCAAGAGTGGCTCGAAGTGCTGGAAGGAGGTGGGAGCAGCTGTCTTCAGAGCATGCTGGACAGGATTCTGCATTTCCAAAAAAGCAGATTATTTATTTATTGGTTAAATTAAGAATATCTTCTGAAACACAGCTGGTGGTGACAGTGCTGAGAGCTGGGATTTTACACTGTTACCTGCTGCAATGGTTTTTAGCCAGTAAGGAGAAGCAAATGACAGACTAGGTGTGAAGGGAAGTGGATGGTGAAGCACTGAACGTTGCTAGTTTTCTTAGGGTCACTGGAAATGACTGCCCTACATGTTAATGTATTAACTGGAAATCAGGGACTTGGGTCCAGCTCATGTCCCTCTCCGAAGAAAATCAAACCTGCTTGCCTTAATTCCCTGGTGACTATCCTAGACATCAGGGAATACGCTGGTTTTGGAGGGCTAGAAGATGCTGTCCCCAGCCTCCTTTTGAGCCTGTGCTCACTGCTCAGCCAGCAGCAAGACATAGATGAAGCCAGAGAGAAAACGTGCTGCTGTAAAACAGCCAAGCTTGGTAGCCTCAGCTTCCAGGCTCAGCTGCCAGAAATGTTAACAGATTTCATCCACTGGCAATTTAGCATAAAATGCAGACAGTAATTTGAAATTAAGTGATGAATTTTGTCACCTAAGTATTTTGAAATACTGCTTAAGTAGTATTTGATTCAAAAATTATTTGAAGTGTGGCCGCTAATGTAATGAGGTGAGAATTTCCATTGAGATGAAATAGGCCAATCAGTTTGAACATTGATACTGACTTAAAGCAGTTTAAAATGTCATTCTCTGCTGGGGTGATGGATTCCACTTCACTGAAATTTCATCAGGGGAAGCAGCAGATTCTCCCTCTCTGAATCTCTTCAGATAAATTCAGCAGAGCTGCAATGGGGAGGGTTAGGACACCCTGGCCTCACACACAGCCTTCTATTCTTTCACTTCCAGTAATTTGGGGGCTGGTCATTAACTTGACTCTTCCAAGTAAGGGTCTGTTTAACCCCCACTCCAGTACAGTCAAACTGTGTTGCTGGAGACCCAGAATACCCCTCCAGGGGCTTATATCATTGCTAAGTCCACATGCTATTGCCCGCAGGCTGGCTGTGAAACCAGCTTCCAGCAGCAGACACATTCCAGAGCCTCTTGGCTGGAAAACCCTGCTCTCAGGGATGCACCAGCAGTGATCCCAGCACTGCAGCCTTGCTCTCACTGCCCTATGTGCTACCTGAGAGGAGGCTGGTAAGAATTATTTCTGTCTGGTAGTTTGGGGGTAACAAGCTGGAGTCAGCCTGCAGAGATACACAGGCAATGTCCGCGGCTGGGAATAAAGGATGGTTGCAGTGCTGGATCCAGGTGATCCAATCTGCAGCCATGAATTGGCCCTGGTCACAGTAGTTCAGATCTGCTAATGCTGTACTAGCTTTCTCAGGTGAGACCTTTCTGCCCTGATGATTTGTTGAGGGTTACTTGGTGTTAGGAAATCTTAGGCCTTTCTCTTTTTTTCTTGCTGTGGAGAGCAGAATAAGCATGGCTCTGCTGGCAGCGAGTGAGGATTGTCACTGAAGATGAAGGGGTTTTGTTGTGCTGTGCAGCACCTGGTGGGTGCCAGGAGAGCATGGCTCTGTGCTGTGGGGCTCAGGGATGTGGGTCAGCCTTGCCTGAGTCTAACACAGCCACTCTCTCCCATCTGCTCCCTTTAGTGCCCTCTTACACAAGCGGGATGCAGGGGCAGCTGCTCAGGATTGTGTATTTATTTGGAGGCTGAGAAGCTACCTGGAAACCTAAAAGAGCTGGAGATAAAATAGAGGGCTAGAGAAGGAAATGGACTAGTTAAATACTGAGGTCATGAGTGAAATACCTCAGGAAGCCAGGCCTTGAAACCACCACAAAAATACAGTCTGTCACTGTCAAAGAGCCTCATATAGAATTAGATTTTTTTTTTTTCTTTTCTATAGTCCTCTAAAACTATTATCTGCATGTTAATCCTGTATCACAACTGATGCAGATCTGGCTCTCTTTTGAGGGGCAGGAATGACTCTATCATGAAACAGGAGAGAGAGAAAATGCCCAAAATACATTTAATACAGCAAGGAGAAAAAGAATTCCAACTGAATAGTTACAAAAATCAGTATGTTCCTTCAGTATCTGCTTTTATTTTTAAAAAGCTGTTTCCCGGCAAGAAAGCCCCTCTCTGCGAGTGAGCCCTGAGAGAAAGGGCGATCTAAACTCACCTTGTAGTTCCTTGCTTTGCACAACCCTGGACAGTTTCCTCCAGTCCTTTTCCTGAGCTAGAAATGCCAATTGCTAGTGAATCGCTGAAGTGCCACACGCGCCAATTAGTTGCTGTTCCTTTGGCGTTTTACGAAAAAAAAAAAAAAAGCGTGGAGCGGCGGGGTAATAAAAATAAATAATTAAAATTTGAACCAAACGTCTGTGACGGGAGGTTCCTGTTCCCTGCAGCTCCTGGGGCTCGTGGCTCTCAACAGTGCAAATACTCGGATCTGCTCTTCGCCCGGGTCGAGATGGGCTGCGCATTAAAGGACCGTAAAAACTCCTGATGAGAGGCGTAGAAAAAAAATAATTAAGTAATATTTAAGGTCTCGTCTGCTGGTAAAAGGGGAAGATGAAAGCGTGGAGCGGCGGGGGGCCAGAGCCTTCTGCCCCACACGCCGCGGGGCCTGGGAACACGGCTGCTCCTCCCCGAGACCCCCCGCTGCCCACAAGCCGGGGGGGCCCGTTTGACCCCCTCCGCTCCCAGGCTGAGAGGGAGGAAAAGCAGGCGCCGGTGTTAGCGGGGACGGAGGGGGTTGCCCAGCCCGGGGCGGGCAGGGCGCCGGCAGCCTTCCTTGCCCGCAGGGATGGGGTGTACCCTTCTCCCTGCCTTGCAGCCCCTTCTTTCCTTAAGGCCGGGCCGCAATTCCTGAGCTCCCCAGACCCTGGAGCCGGTCAGGACAAACTCTTCTCCGCGCCCCGGCGCAGCTTCCCCGTTTCGCACCCCCGAGACGCGCCCCGGCGTGTGCCCGCACCTCCCCCTCCCCAGCAACGCTCCCACAGACACGGCCCGAGTTGTTTTACCGCACCTTCCGGGGGCTGTCGGGACCTCCCTACGTGTTGGTGTGGTTTTTTGCTTTATGGTATGTCACAACGTCTCAGGTGTGTTGAGGGCCGTTTGCAAAAAGGTGCCGAGTTTGCTTCTGACCTTGCCACACCAAAATAGCTGCACGTTTCTTTCTAAATTAAAACCAGAAGCAGCTGTTCGCCTTCACCGAAATGACTGACGCTCCGTGAGCAG